AAGCCTCCTCACCCCCTTGCCTTTTCTCTGTCAAGGTTTAGAAAGACCCGTTCAGCCCGTAAAACGTAACACCAGCCAGAAGGGCATCGCCCCGCACAGGCCCCCGGGCACGCGGCGAACAGCTCGCCTTCGCGCTCAGAGCGCCAAAGCCCTGCTCGGCGCACGCACAGCCGAGGGGCGGCGGGGGGGTTGGTTTTTTGTTTTTCCTTTCCCACATTAGAGGCTGAAGGGGGAAAACGCAGCTCAGGATAACTGCTGGAGAGGCTGGAGCCCTTTTCATCCACCGGCTGCAGTCACAGATGTGCGTGCTGGGCACCTTGGGAAAGTGAAACCAGTAAAAAGTTGTCAAGGACCCCGCACGAAAGCCAGGAGAGCGTTATTTATTCTTGCACATCTGCACAGAGCTCCTGGAGGACCCCAGGTCCTCCCCTGGGCTACACTGGCACGGGGCAGCCCAGGTCCCGAGACACCTCCCCAGCTGCCTGTGCCAACGTCTCCAGCCAGAGAAGGGAAGCACGTCCACAATCCAGCAATTCGCCCACAATTCGGCAATTTGTGGCCCGAAGGCCGCTGCAGGCCCAGGCGTCACCCCGTCCCCTGCTCGGCTGCGCAACAGCTCCCCTGTTCCCACGTTGGGACGCAGGGAAGATGCACGGACACGCCGTAGCCACAGGGCTGCGGACCCAGCCGCAAAAAGCGCTGGCGTAACAAGCTCTGGCAGCAAGCGCCAGCCCACAGCCCTCGGCAAGGCCGGCCAGCCGGCGGAGTGACACATCTGAAAAACCTCCACATCCACAGACCAGTTTACAGACTTCATTTAGCTCAAAGGAAAGTCCTAATTAGTCACTCTGAGTGATTTACTTGTTCATTTGGAAGGGGAGGAGGGGGGAGACTAAGCTGAATTGTTTGAAATTATCCCTAAAGGGCACTGTAAATTAAGTGTTAATGAGGAATCCTATGCAAAGGGCCACAGTAGCTAAATAAAATAATTAAGGTGCTAAGTGATAACATTCATTTGGTTCTCAATAATTTAGCCAGCCTGGTTTGCAACCAGGATATTTGCAAACGAAGTGGCTCTCGCCACTCCCTGAACCCCCCATGCCATCAAGGGGGACGATGGTGCCGAGGTGGCTCAGCCTCCTACAGGATCAGGCCCACCAGGGAAAGGAAACTTTCTGGGACGGGAAGAACAAGCCACTGACTCCCCTTCTCACCTGCAGCAAGTGCAACGTCTTGTTTCACTGATCACGCTCTGGATTTATATATGACACAGAAAGGATTGATTCAAGTCTACAAGAAATCTTTACAGGCCTTTATTTCCATGGACTGCGTTTTCCTCGCACCAGCTCTGTTCTGACAGGTCATGTCCATCCTTTGGCAGGGCTGCAGACCTATTTTACAATCCAATACAACTCAGTGTATTTCCAGACACTCAAGCACCAATACGTAACAGAGAAATCGCCTCGCTGCAAAGCAATTGCTACTGAGGAGTCCCAAATCCTACCTGGTTCTCACTAGCACCAAGGCAGCCTGGTGAAGAGCCAGAGCCAGCTGTGCATTTGCACAGGGAACTCACCTGGCTTGGAGGATTTCCCTCCTGCTCCGCGTTTTCAGCCACATCAGCCCCTCGGCCCTCTCGGTTGCTAGAGGGGCAGTGGGCTCAGGCACAGGGCACCTAGAGGCAGCAGGAGGTGGGAGACAGGGCACAGTTGCTTTCTGAGGCAGCACCAGCCAAACACCATCTAGCAACTACAGCCCAAAATCCAGTTCGCAGCCTGAGCAACGTACACAGTTCCCCGTGCGACGAACGCAAGGCCTGCAGCCATCACTGGATATTTTACTGTAAAAACCTGAAGGATTTGGCTGGCTGCTTTCAAAGCCTAGCTTTGCCACGCTTCCTTACAACCTTTCCTCCAAGAGGTGTTACCTAGTGGCACGCAGACGGTCTGAATTCAGTGCTGAGCCAGGGCTTGGGCGGTGCAGTTTGTCAGCCGAGACGGAGCTTAGTTCAGTGGGTCTCTACCTGTAGCTTGCAGCAATAGAGAAGACCCTGGAAGGAGTACTTCCGTATCTATTCCAGCTGAGCATAGCCACGTAACACTGAGCAGCTTCCCCGGTCAAAAGGTCTGGTCTGAACAATTTCCACCACATGCCTGGATAACATCAATCACTGTGCTTCAGTTTTTGGCTGCAGATGGAGTGCAGGAGAATACCTGTAGGAAGGATGGAGGACTTTTTTAGCTGCAAGAAAATCATTCTGAGGATCTGGATGTTTGATTTTTACATACAGGAATGTGGACTGTGAAATGTTTGCACATCAGAACTGTTTTTACCAGTAGCAACAGAGACGTTCAGCGACTCAATTCCTGGGCAAAGCGCTCTTCCAGGGGGTATGACTAGCATCCGATGGCACAAGCGCTGTGTCCCCAGGGAAAGTCCATCACCTTCACTACCTGCAGAACAAAGACACTGCTCACATCAGCTCACAGCAGCCTTCGCATCCCTTTTCACCTTCCCAAATACGGTTCCTGCTAATGCTCAATCACAACTACATCCTGCTCCTGCACAAACTTACAGGGTACCTCACTAACCCCCACAGAGCATGGCAGTCAAGACCTACCAAAGAAGAGGCCAGCACCTTATCTGCTTTCCCTTCCCAGCCCAATCCAACCTCCCTGGATCTGTTCTCCAGGTATCTGAAGTGTTTTTGAGGAATACCTGTGCAACACACCTGCATGCAGAGCATAACCTGCAAAGCCTTGCAGCCTGAGCGTGAGGATCCCTCGGGCAAGGACCCTCCGTCCCAGCGCACGGCTGCCCACGTACGCTGGCTGCTGCTACAGGGAGGAAGCAGATAACAGGCCGGAGGCCTGATCTGGTCCAGCAAATCCTACAACCCTATCGATAGTGACGTGTTCAGCCTTTTCAGCACACAGTACCACCAGCTGGGTGCAACTTGTGAATGCAGACAGTTTAACCAGAGGCTTCAATTGATTAGTTGTTAAACCATCCAACAGCCCTGATATGTTTGGGCTGATACAGTGGTGAAACAGAGTTGAAATCTATCCCAGGTCATTAGTAGTTGTTTGACTCACACTGTCACAAAGGGAAATGGAAGGGGAGAGGCTTTAAACAATCCTATGCACAGACATGTGAAAATGCAGAAGCCCACAGACCTCCCAACCCGCTTGGCTCCTCAAAGATTTCTTCCACGTTCATTATTTAGAGCTACAGAGACAGCTACGTGGCTGCAAGAATACCTGGCTCATTTGAGAGATGTGCTTACCCTCTAACAAAAACAGACTCAGCATACTGGGAGCCAAACAGTCCCCTTTGACAGCCATACCCTATCCTCATCTCTGCTCAATCCCAGACTGGTACGACACTGCCGGCACACGTGCTGCCTACCAGGGCTTTCCATGCCTCTGTCTTGGTGACCAATGCTATCACCAAGGCCTTGCTCAGCCCACCTAAATTTAGAAACTCACCTAAAGCACGTGTGCACGTTGTTACACGTTTTCTGTACCACTGGAGACTGGCTCCTACACAGGGCAAATGAGGTCTTTAGGTGCCTGAGTTGCCACAGAATTTTTTCACTGATATCTGCTTACAACACCTTCCCAGCGAGATCCATGCCCCCATAGCTATGTATTTATCTGTCTAGACCCCTCCATTGCCACAGTGTAAAGAAGTGCTATTATTCACATTTCATAGACTGGAAGCTGAGGCCCAGCAAAAGGCTTTGTTGGCCTGGTCTAATTGGCAAGATGCATTTTGTGCAAGCAAAAGAATGTTTTGGGTAATGCATTTTGCAGTGCCTTCCCATGGGGAGATAGCTATATGGACAAAAGCACCCATTGGCTGGGGTAAATGAACCTTCAGAAAACAAATTTCCATCCTAACCATTATTTTTTTTTTACTGGTTTAAGCCAGCAGTGCAGACCAGGCCAGGGTGAGTCATCCAAGGGCACACGGGAAGTCTGGGGTGACAGAGCATCGAAGCCAGGCCTCCCACAGACCAGGCTGACCTCTTCATTGCTAGACTGTGGCTCTCCAGGGAGGCTCCGAGAAAAAAAAAAAAAAAAAAAAAAAAAAAAAAAAAAGGGCTCCTCCTAACCTACTTTTGCCTGATTTAATAAAGGAAAGTTTTGCAGGTTACAGTAATATTTGTCTCCTGAGCCTCTCAAAACCTCACTCTCGTGGGATTCTCCAACTGGGACAGCAGCTATTACCAGTGGTGCAACAGTTCCTGGAGCAACCCTCTTCTCTTCCTGATAGGGGTCTTGCGATTCCTAATAAAGGCAGCAATTTTGCTTCCAGCTTTTAGAAAGCTTTTTATGGCTTTAGCTGCTTAAAATAATTATGACCCATAAATTCAGGGCAAAAAGACCTGCAAAGAGTGACACGTGGGAGGGAGTGTTGATTGAATCGGACAAAATCCTAGTTTATACTGGTGAACAAAAACATTTGATTCTTCAGATCTTTGACTTCAGTCTCATAGTTTTGTCTCTCACTGACACTGCACCTGAAATGTAGACACATTTACTTATTTAGTAATGCTTACTCCTCTTCCCTTACTACAATACTACCCAGGACTTGGCCTGGCAGTTCAAAGGAGCTTGTAATGACATGCACCACCCTCTATCTTCACAAAAAGACTTGCCATATTGGATGAGACCCAGGCTCCCACTACTCCACCTCCTCCAAGAAACCTTACCAGATACTTTGCACAGCAGTGCACAAAAGTCTCTTGAGTCCAGTGTTACAGTTTGGCTAAAATGATAGCACAGGAGGTTTTCTGTCCCATTTACAATTAACACCAGTGTAACAACTGCAGTTTTCAATGCAGAATGTCCAAAGCCAGGCAGAAGCAGCAGCTCTGACTGTTTGGAAAAATATGCAAAATGAGCATCTAGATAAAACCATCAGTTTCATGAATGGCCTTAAAATCCTAGCTAAAGCCTGAATACATAAGAGCAGCAAATTACCCCCAGAAACTCTTCTTGAGAGGACATCTAAGTGCTCCCAATGTGTTCCTCTTCACATAAAGCTTCCAGCCTTAAGGGTGGCCAGCCTGCCTGCCACCTCAGGCAATGACTCCAGTGCAGACAACATGAAGCTGGACTGTCCAAATCATTCTCTTTGGCAACCCAGTGAGGATGCCAGGAAGGCGAATTCAAGTCTACAAATGCTTAGCTTACAAGACAATCTGTGCAATGCTAGAAAGCTCACTACCATGCTAATTTATCTCTGCTTCTCTCTGTTTGTGGCTGCAGGTACGCCACATATTCAGATCTAGGATGTTTCTTCAAACAACCCCAGCATCAGATGACTATAATGTTCAATTTTCTTTTCAGTGAAGAGTTAGTGCTCAGCAGAGAGCTGAAATCATTACTGCTGCAAGGTCTGGAAGCTCTCCTCATGCGTCTACCAATCAGCCTCCAATCTCCCTCGACAGAAGGATATTTGGACTTTTTCCTGGAGAAATCTCTCATAATTCAAGGTAACGACACCACCGCCACTTTCACCCCCTTCCTTTCTCTTGGTGTTGTCATCGTTTCTGGGATGCATTTCTTTGTGGTCCATCAGCAGCGCTAGCAACCTCTCCATTCCCTTTATAACATAGCTCCACACATCTTGTGGAGATGCCAGATTTGCTACATTGTCTTGTCGGTATTTCTAGGAGCTCAATAAACATTTTAATTAAAGGAATGTCTTCTGAGCCAAGAAAACGGCAGCACAGGGCAGGATTACAGCCCCTCTATGGCTCACTGCCAAAATGACACTACTTCCAAGTGTAAAAGCTCAAACCAGCTCACGTGCCAAGTGACTCGGAGCGGGGGGGGCTACAACATGGCCACACAAGGCCACGAGCAGCACTCACAGGTGAATTTCTTTCTCTAGCTATCACAAGGCCATCATCCCTCCTCTCCTCACCTTCCAGGAGGTTGCACAACCCCAAACTCTGCCTACAAAAGTCCCTCCTACGTAAGGATGGAGGAGAAGCAGAGGGCCTTGGAGGAATCGCAGAGCTTAGGCTCTCAGGACCGTGGCAAGAGGCATCCATCACACAGACAGCGCACAGATCTGGCAGGGAGGAGGTTAAACCTGCCCTTCCTGGTGGTATGGCAGCAGCCAATAGCTCGTGAATCTCCCAAGGATAAAAACCCAGCCAGTGGCTGGTCTCAGTGGTGGCCTCTGTGCCACAAAGCCCAGCTCTGTGTTCACACTGTCCCGCAAAACATCTCAGGCTTCTCATTACAGACCTGAGCACAAAGATATATTCCTGCTTTTAAGAGGAATCAGAACAGAGCAAAGACACGGCACAGCTCACCATTACAGTCTCAGCAGAGCAAGAGCGAACGTGCATCTCCTTGATCTCTCTCTCAGTCTGTAGTTCGCCAGCACCGAACATCTAGGTTCAGGGCTCCAGGATGTGATAAAAAGCAGTGCAGCACATGACACAAAACGACGCTCAGTGGCTGGACTGACCCTGCCCTGCCCCTGAAAACCACCATCTAGCCCCTTGGCAGTTATTAAACATCATAGTTATCTATGTGAGCTGTTTTGCTCCTGCTGGAAACCTCCCAAGCTCCCCACTTTTTCTGGTTCCCTACGTTATTTGCAGCCAGTTCTCGCTAGTACTTCTGGCTGAGCTTTTCTTTTTCAGACCAAAGTGTGATGAAGACACTCAAGCAGCATGTAGCAGACCTTCAACTAGCTTTGGAGACAAACCACCACCATGATCATTCACTCATACACAACCTCCACCAAGCCCAAAGCTCTGTAAATTGAAATACCTATTACTAAAATAATGGGTTTATTCCACCGAAATTCTGAGCAGTCGATGACAGGAACATTTTCTGCGGTCTCAGCCCTGCTGACTGTTCCCACAACTTCCCAGCCTTCTGCAGTTTTAGCCTTAAAAAAGAGCAGAAAGAACAAACGTTAAAAACGATTCCAACTTTTCAAGCTTTAAACAAAACAAGATATGTATGTAAATACACATATTTTTTAAGATTTTCAGTTAAGCTGACTGGCTTTTATAGCTGTTATTAACATCCCCTGAATTTGTACTCCCCCCCAAATCCTCCCAGTACCAGGACTCACATCTTGCTATAAGATACACACACAAAAAAGTGGTTTTACTTTTGATATCTCTTTCGGGTCAGCAGCCAAATAAACAACAATTGAAAAGCCTTTTTTTTTTTTTTTTTTTTACTAGTATAACAACTCTAGGTGGGTTTTTGCCAGGAAAGCATACAAAAACTGTAATATTATATTAACATAAGGCTAATCCACAGAGCAATGCAGGGGAACTTTTCAAGGGCAGGCTCGGTCAGCAGAAGCCCACAGTAACATTTACAACACAACAGCACATTTGCAAACTTGGTTGCCAACAAATCAGCTCGCATAAAAGCGGGTCACTCAACACCCTCAGCCCCTCATATAACCAGAGAATCAACTTTCCTTCCTTCATCCTAGTAATAAGAGCCTTAATTATTTGTCTTGGATATCCACTTTAACAATAAAAAGAGCTGCTGCTTCTTGCCAGCTTCATTTCCTGTGAAATGGGCACTTTTTACATTACATTACATCAAATTTACACCAGCCAGACAATGCCAAGGGTTAGGCCAGTGAATCTGGGTCCAATTAAATGAACTGCTGCAATGGCTTAAAATGTTAATAATTCAAGCTTTACAGTAACAAAGTGATTCTTCCAGCGGTTTCAATTAAATATCAATATATTTTATGTGTTTTTCCTTTCATCCTCATCCAAAGCTCTGGCTGCCACAGACCCACTGTATGGCTGGAAAGAGGTTTTCCTGTTTTCGCTATGAGCCTGAGGCTCAGTCACAACTCCCTGCTCCCCCCGGGGCCCTGCCATGCACCAACGCGGCTCGCCCAGTCCCTCAGGGGGAGTGTTCAGATGGTTCCCAGTCCAACCAGGCCGCAGGGGACCTCCACAAGCAGCTGGGCAGTCACACGCTGCTATAACAGGGAACGGACAGGTCTTGCCAACACAAAGCAAATTCCTTGGGTTTGCTGCAGTTTAAAGCACGTGCTTCTATTTGCATTCTCCCCTTTGCAGCAACATGCTGCAAAGGGCCCTATCTCATCTCACCTCAGGGCACGGGCACAGGGTGAAAAGATTCCCAGCAGTTCAGACGCAGCCCTAGCTTCTCTTTCCTCCCCTGGCTCCAAAGCCTGCCCAATGCTGCCATCGTGTGCCCAGGCCCCAGGACGCTGCCTCCGTCGCATGCCAGGCAAGGCCGCCGCAGGCAGCAGCACCAGCTCCAGGCCCCGTGGACAGAAAGGGAGATAGGTCTTGTCCTACCGAGCTCACAGTCTGAACACAGAAGACAGACAGAGCGTTACTATCTTACTATCTCCATCCTCCAGAAAACGACCTGAACCACAGACCCCATCTAACCTGACACAGCTGGATTGGGGGCGCCTGTGTGTCAGAGGTGGTCCTACAGCACAGACAACTGGTAGCAAACAGGAATGCAGAGCAGAACTATCGAAGCACTGGAAATACCGAGAGTCCTCTTTCTGTACCTCCTCTGCATTCAGCACAAGCTATATTGGAGATTTCCCATACATACAGTTGCACTAAAATAATATTGACAAGAAAAGAAGAAAAAAAAAAACCCAAGATGGATGGCTCTACCTTCAAAAAACTCTGGAGATCATCTGTGCTGTAGACATCAAAGACTTCCATAACTCCAGCGCTAGCTTTGCTCACTGTTGGAGTCAAGGGGCAGCTGCAAGGGAAAAGAAAGGAAAAAGTTCATATGCGCGCAAAAAAGGAAAACAGGGAGAATTTCTGGTTCTCCATTTCTTTCTCTTGCTTGTGCAATCCAGGCTAGTTTACAAATGGCCTCACTCGCTATATGGATCCACTTTCCTACAGCGGATGGGAGGGCTCCAAAATTAACCCAGGAAACAGGCTGCAGCAGTTCTGTGCACAGCTGGATAAATAAAAGGGCAGAAAAGGCAAAATAAACCCTTTCCCCCAAACAAATCCTTCCGTCTCCGCTTCTCGAGCCTCTGTTAAGAGCGCGGGGCCTGGTGTCTTACCAGCATGAAACTCCGCTTCCCTCAGCCTCCCTGCAGGATGCGACCCCAAGCACTAACTGGCCAAATCCAACTCCCAAGCTCAGTTTTGGGCAGCCCTCTAAAGAAGCCGTCATGGGCTAGAAACCTCCCTGGGAGCTAGCGGGGGGCGGGGAGGGGGGGAAGGGGCGAGAAAGCCTGGCGCAGAGGGAGCCCCCGACCCCGTACCTGTCCCTCCGGCTCGTCACCACTCTGTCCACGCCGAGGAAGTAGGGGGAG